AGGGCGGCAGCCGCAAGTTTGGCTAAGCGGGGAGGGGCATTCGCGGAATAGCGGAGACATAAGGAACGGAAATCAACCCGACGATCCAACAGGCGATGGGATCACAGAGGGTCGGCAAGTTACGATCAGAGTTGGGCGTTGCGGAGCTCGAAAAGCGCCGCCCATGATGTCTGAGAAGGCCAGGGGCGGCACAACGAACCCGAGAGCCCGACAAAGTGGTGAGCAAGTACAAGAAGCTGGAGGGCGGCTCCTTTTGTGAATAGGATGGACCGACGCCGAAAATAAGATACCCTAATACACGAGCAAAAAGAGTTTCTGATTCATCTCACGCGAGTCTTCCAGGGGAACAGTTTTACCTTTTTGGGGTTGACGCCCGCTTTCCATTTTGAAAACTCTAGATGCCGTCCTTGCCGGCACGCATTTACTGACGGGAGGTGACAAACGTCAAATGAATCTCATTGGAATGAAAAGTACCGACACGATGGTTCCCAGCTTTCCATTGACATCGCAGGACGCGACTCAGCAGAGCATTGGGTTCCTCCGTCTCATGCACGTCTCCCACCGGCTATACATTCCAAAAACGGAACATATCGAGACACAGGATGGATGTCAAGGGGGGGCCGCAAAAATGCTTAACTAATTTCCCTTGGTTTAGTGGAGGCACTTCAGGCATACCATTCAGGAAATTCTGATTTAAATTCAGTACCTCAGCCAGGGGAGCTAAATCGATTTATGCCTTTATTACCAACTGTCCCCCGAGTCCCTAGAATAAACGTACGTGTGTCTTTTCCAGCGATATCAGCCGGCTGTTTTTAGATGTGATTTTGGAATCAGGACACTGTCTGCGATAGGACTATACTAAGAACACCTCTATTCTCGTGGACGGTGATAGACATAGTTCAAATAGATATGGAAAGTCTCGTCGTGAACCTTGTGTAGTGCTTGAAGAGACGACTCCAGTCGAACGAACTGTATTCTGAAGATACACACGGTAAGCAAGCTACCTAGCTAGGTAGGTTCCTGAAGTATACAAGCAATGAATCATCTACACACCTTCGGTCTCAGATAGAAGACGCGAAGACCTCGGCTTCAGAATTGCATACAAGGCCATTGGCTGCTATGACTCAAGGCGCGCCACACACCATACAGCAGGGGTTCGAATTTGGAAGGAAAGGTGAATCTTCAGGTCTTCCCGAGTCTTTAGTGCCATGGAACGTGAGTGGTATGCTGGTCAAGTCCTTTCCGAGTGAGGCGCGCGACCCGACCACTTTCTCTCGCGGCAACTTCCTGAAGAAGCGGGTGTCTCAATCCCAAGCTTCCGATCCACCCAGTTCAGAAATCTGCCCTCTCTCCCCATGAATATTGCTAAAGCACTCCGCCATGTCATCTTTTCCTCGCGCACGAGCGGTGGTCACATCAAGAAGTGTCAGGCCTCAGTTGACAACAGTCTGTCATGCATCTCATCAGGCCTTCAAGAGGCCAAATCACCAACATCAGCCCAAATGAAGTTCAATCACAGGCGCCATCAGACGATGAAGTTCGGGCAGGCGAGTCGTTGTAGCACTAGTGGGATGCCGTCCTCACGGGCCATTATTAAGCTTCCTGCGAGTCGGACCGGCCATAATGTTAAGCTTACAAAACAGCCACATCTCGGCATTGCACTGCCTCCCGCGATACGTGCGCAGGTACGTAGGTGGGCATTATGAGCAAAGGGTGATACAAGGTAGATCACACAGTGACACTAAGCTTCTCTTGTCCCGAGGGGGCCGAGGCTTGAACAATGCTTCTCGCAAGAAACCAAACATAAGAGATCGAGAGATATAGGCAAGGGGGCAATGGGCGGCCACGGGCGATCTGCATACGAAAGCGGGCACGAATGAAGTGCAGCTGGACACGGTGGCTGGTCAATAATGAAATGTTTTATTGGGGCCTACCGTGCTTCAGGTTTTCATCCTGCGCTCAGGGATCTGCGACCTGGGACCTCACGGACATCCGGGTGAGCCATGTCAACCATGGGCCGCTGTGAACGGGGCCGGTGAGGAGGAGGAGAGCCCACGGGATTCGGTTCCCGGCAGCGTCTCGGGCGCAGGATGTTTTGTGAAACCCCTCGGGAGGAACAAAAACTGGGTCGGTGAGCGGGCGGCCTCGGTCGTTTTGGGGATCATGTTTATCGGATCTGCACCGGGATCGTCTTCCAGAAGTTGAGGAGAACGAAGGACATCCTGTGGCCGCTCCGAGAGAAGCTGGGCATGGGTCAGTCCATATCAGCTCCGTAAACTGCGGCCTCAGAAACATAGTATCACGACGACCGATCGTGAAGCATAACATTCATGTTTCAAAAACACTTGCTTCATAAGCTATTGTACATCATGTTTGTACAAGTCCATGGATGCTCGCTTGCTCGTGACTCCATCTCGCAGGACCGCCATCTATACACAAATTGGATGCCCGTCATCAAGTTTTCATCAAAGGGGAACATGAATGGCTCTGGTTGAGGAAAAGGAGACATGCACGTCCAGCGTGTCACATCAGGTATTGTTGAGCCAAATGAATGATTTCCATACACCCCATCATGCGTAGAATGTTATCCGTATATCCGTACAAATACAACACAGAAGAGAACAAGATTGTACGCTGAAACGAAAAGAACGGGTTTCCCCTCATCAGTAGATTCATCAGTAGATGACGGTCACCCTCCTTCTGCGTCGCGTTGGCTTCGCCTCCTGACCCATCATCGGCGGGCCGGGTATGGGGTAATCGAGGTTGTCCTTGTAGATGTTGAACTTGATACCGTCGTCGCCAGACTTGTACAGCGCCGTCGCCTTGACACCCTTTGGCTTCTCGGATCCTCCGCCCTGGACATCGAGGTTGAGGCACTGCGGATAGTTCTGAGCGCCGCCCTCGCGTCCAGCCTCGTGCAACGCAATCGTCTCGTGGCGCAGAACGTACTGCCCGGGGGCGATGTTGGCCGGGATCGTCATCGTCCATGACTTGTTGTTCGAGAGCATGTCGTCAGAACCCCACTTGCCCGGCGCCTTGGACCCGTCGACGAGGCCGACGGCGTCGATCTTGAAGAACTCGAGATCCTCCTTCTTGACCTTTGCGCAGTCGCCGTTACAGGGAGCGAGGTAGTCCATCATGGGCCCGTGGTGCGACTCGGGCCAGTCGGTCCAGAAGACGGTTACGTTAGAGCCGGCGGTCACTTTGGCGGCGATGGGGGCGGGCTCAGCGCCGACGTGGCAGATGATGTCGGGGTCTGCGTACTTGTCGACGGCGACGAAGCCGTTGGACAGGTCTTTGGGGATGGACCAGCCAACGACTTGTGGCGGGGGCTTCTTGTACTGCATTTGCGGGCTGTAACCCTCGTAGCTGTGTCGTGTTAGTGAACCGTGAGGCTATATGAGAGAGGACTTATCAGGTCCGCGCTTACAAGACTCCATCCGCCATGATACCGTTCACCGTTCCATGAGCACTGACGGCCTGGATGGCTGCCGTAGCCAAGAAGACGTACTTCATGGCAGACATTGTGAAGGACTCTTCGATGCTCTCGCGGATGGCTTGTTTAGTCGATGAGACGTTGGGGGAATGTTTGGCTGATTTTTCTTTCGCGAATCCTCCTAGAAAACACTAAATTTACCAAAAAAGGATTGTCGTCGATTATATGTTATCCTAGAGAGAGGTTTGCGACTGAGTTTGGTTAAGGAGCGTAATAGTCGACCAGCGCGCTATGTTAAGGTATTATCAAAGAGTGTGTAAGTGCTTCACCCGGGATGCAACGTCGGCTGGAGATGGTGTAGTCCGGAAGACACTTTATTATATTGCAGTTCTAGCCACAGCAGAGAGGAAGGACAAGTCGCGGTTGGGGAGGTTTGCCGGCCCCCGATTCATCCGTTCAAACATTCTTCAGCCCCTTTCCACCGTCGTGCGCTGATGTTCGAGCACACCCTCAAAGGAAAGAAGGTGCAAAACATCAGACACAAAAGAGGCGACGATGACCTCAAAACCGAACGCAATCCCATTTCTTATTGGGCGAGATCAGATCTTCGCCATCCAGACCATTGGCTCGCAGTATCAGTTGGTCATGTACCCTGTTTCAAGACGGGGTTATCCAGTCTTCGACTCGGTTTCCCCTTTCCATGGCGTCCGTGCCGGCACCCTCCTCAGCCCCATAGAGTTATCTTCCGACGATATTTCACGTTTTTCTTGTCTGTTGTGGGTAGGAAAGTTTTGTTCCGGCCTTCGGACAGCATGGCCATCCTAGACAAAATCGGGATTCAGACCATTACAGGCCAAAGACTCACAGTCACCGGCTCTTTCGTCTCAAAAACTTCCCAAAGGGGAAGCGGCCTCGGCTACCGCGTTCAGGCTGCTCAGCTTTCCCCAATTTTTCATGCGATAGTCCGATCCCATATTACTTGGGCTGACATTATAGTCAAGGTTTTTGCGACCGTTTCATCCCTCCACAAAGTGTTCATCTCCTCAACCAGAGCCGCAAAGAGCTGATGTGACGTGCTTCTGCGACGTAAGTCTGATGTTTTCCAGCCTCGCTTTCTCGTTGAGTTGCTCGTATTGCCGAAGATAGTTTCTTCCATGATGGGCTGGCAGTGATGGAAATAGGCATCAGTTGCCATGATAGCGGCTGGTGGTTCGCCAAGGAGAAAGGCAAATGCGAACAGCGAATCGCGAAACTTCCGTCCGCGGCTCGCCCACCAATTGCGAGCAGTTCGCATTGATGACGCTGCGACAATCGAGCGCAGTGCAAAGCAGCAGGTTTTTGCGCTCTATGCCGACCGCCACTTGTCGTACACCTCCCCGATGATTTCGCCGAACTTTTCCAGATCTTGGATGTTGCTGACTCAAAGCCGACACACATATTATTTGCGATAAACCAAACAACGTTTTTGTTGTCCTCCTAAACTCCTTAACACCGCCAGATAATGTCGAAGTCCAAATCCCGTCCAGGCGGCAGGGCCTTCATCCGAAAGTAAAACCGTCCCGTGTTACAACAGCTCGAAGTCGTCCAACTTGTCGCGGTATTTCATGATGTTCCTCTTCACCTTGCTGCCCACGGTCCAGGTGACAAAGTCCTCCATGCTGCGAGTCACCAGAAAAGCCGGGTCGGTGCATGTCTCGGTACCCACACGAACGTGACCCTGCTCGATGAGCTTCGTCGCCGCCTGAACGGTCTCGGCCATCCTGAGAAACATGATTAGCATTTGCTCTTGCGGATCCAGCAGCTATGTCGGGCTTTCATACCGAAGCCGAGTCATGACGACCGGGAGACGCCGCCTAGCAAAGGCGCTCACGGTGACGTTGTGCTCGACGGCAGACAGCTTTGATGCGGAGGACAAAACACCCATGTCATACAACTTATCAAGGAGGAGCTTCTCGTGCTTGCGACGAGCCGCACTCTCAGGGGGCATGAGACTCAATCTATGCGCCATTTGACGGATGGACTGCGGAAGTATGGGTTAGTTGTCTTCGGGTGGATTGCTCGATCCCGTGTGTTTCGAGTCGAAGCGATCGGTGCCAAACTCACGCCGCATAGCCGGTTGTATTTGTGCTGGTTGTCCTTGTTAGTAGGTGTCGATAGTACGATGGGTCGCGAAAATACTCACGTAGTCCTCAGGCTTCTGAATCATATACCGGCGCACCTGTTACTTGTGTTAGAGTTGGTCGCGAAAGCATCTTTTCCTTGGTTCTGCCATACCACTGCCGCATCTCGGTGATCGCCATCCTAGCAGAAACTGTTAGCAATGCGCCTGGATCTGTGGACTTCGCGAGCGTAGGCTTGTGTCGGTACCTGCTTGTATGTGATGAAGTCGTGTTTCCGCAGAAGCTTCTGCTCGTGAAACTTGAGCTTGCGGACCATGCTGGGCTGTCGGCGTCGCGTATTCCCAGTGCGATTTGCTGGTGATGGTTGGCGGGTTGTCGTAGAGAAAAAGTTCTGGAGCTAAGGTGGGACAACTTCCTTATCAGTGCTTATCGCATTTGTGGGGCGGAACATCCCGTCCGCCTACCAAAAAAATACCGTGACAGCCTCAACACCCGCGACAGACCACGCCTGTTGGATCGACAAAATCCGCCCAGAAGTCAATCATGCCGCCGAGACTACCGTTGTTCCCGGCCTTCAAGGCCCCGGGCGCCTTCATGGCCCGGATCGCGCGACCTTTCTCCGCTACTCCTGCTGTGGCTGGTTCGTCAATGCCTCCCACTACCCAGAAATGCACGCAGCGCTAACCTCAAAATAGAGCCCAGAAGACCAATCTCGAATACCGACAGCCTCCTGGGCCTCGACGATCAGAAAGCGCCTATCGACCGAGCTAGGACTCTCATGTCGAAAAACCCCCTGGGCGGAGCACGTAACGCTGCTATCCGCCAGCGCACGATGCTCGATTCGCTCAAGAAGCAGAAGATTAGCGACGACTACCTCAAGCAGATGCCTCGTCGCTGGCGCAACGGCAACGTCTACGCCCCGCATGACCTCAGCCCCACGGAGATGGACAAGTGGAGGAGGATCCGAAAGCCGGAGGTTGATGTTATCGACATGCTGGGCATCAACCCCAAGGACCACTACAGGGTATGTCGCATCCCTGCTAACGGGACTTTTCGACGCAACTTTCTTCAGACGCTGACAGAAAATGTAGAACTTCGCCATGGTCTCTGAATTCATGACCCCCTTCGGACATATCATGCACTCCAAGGACACGGGACTGAGGCCGGTCAACCACAGGAGGATGACGAAGGCCATCCGAAGAGCCATTGGAATGGGTATCCACCCCAGTGTGCACCACCATCCCGAGATTCTGAAGAAGACGTTCAAGCAGGCATGGAGGTAAAAACGTGATGGCTGTGTAGAAGGCGGGGAAAGTCGACGTGTCTACCTTAGGACCAACAGGGGTAACTCCTCCACATGTATGAATTGTACAACATCTTCGGCGTCTATTATATTTGTACAGATACAAGAAGCTTTTCTAGCATTTTTGTACAGATCATGCCTTCAGCACCCGCTGCAGCTTGAATTTCTTCAACTTTTCCGCCGTGGTGTAGTAGCGATGCTTCTCCACCTCTGTCCATTCCTCAGGGAACTGCTTTTTGGCCCATGCCTCAAAATCTCTTTGTAATCCTTGCCCAGGCAATGCGTTAAAAGGGATGCCCAAACTGTATGGATGTCAGCTGCTCGTATCAGGGTCGGAATGGCCAAGGCATAACTTACGTCATCGCATCAGGCCCATATCCAACAGCTCGCTTCATCGTTCTGATCGTGCTCTGCACCTCTTGAAGATTGCCATTGCCCGCGAGACCACCGCAGTAAGCGGCAAATACCGACGGAGGAACATCAATCTCCATCTTTTCGATTTTGTTCCAGATGTCCCTGGCAATCTGATCCCCAAAGGCTTTGATTTCACAGAGCGAGAACACGATCTCGAGACTGTTGTATGATGGGCCCTCGGCCGAACGAACGATATCTTGCCAGAAATCGAGTCCGATACTCGGTCGTTTGCAAGCTCCGTAAGCAATCATCAATGCGTTGTACATCTTCGTTGTTGGTTGGATGGTGGTGTCCATCTTTAACATGTTGTGGGCTAGCTTCAAGCTGTCCAAGTCTGGACATCTACCAATGCCCTCAAAAAACCTAATGTAGGCGTCGCTGGCCGGGTGGAAGTCGGGGTTGACGTGTTGCCTCATGTGTCCGAACACATGGACCGCCATGTCGGGACGGTTGCGGGCGAGGAAAGCATCCATCAGCTCAAGGCGACTCTCGATGCTAGTCTCCTGGAAGAATTGCCTGAGGATTGAGTATGCATCCCACACTCTCGCCGTGCTGTTTTTGCTATCCAAACAATATCCAACAAAGGCGTCTCTGATAGACTGTCTTTGCTCGTTGCTGTGTTGGAACACATTCAGCGACAGTGTGTCGATAACCTCGAACTGTTGGTCGTTCTTCAGGAAGACTGTACACAACGCAACCACAGTATCAGGGTCAAGTGTTACGATGCGCTCCTCCAGAATGTCCGAGATCTCACGAATGGATTTCAAATCTGGTGTCGGTTGGTGGCAAAGCGCCTGGAGGTACCTGTTGATCAGCGGCAGATCCTCGTCTCCCTCCAGTTCGGTTTTCGGGAGCTGCATGTATGCAGCTCTCGCACCAGATAAGTCCTTTGCCCTGATCTTGAAGTCCATTTGGAGGAGGTATGTCTTGGCGTTGAGGCGGATACCGAGCTCAGAAGCAAACGCGATGAGCCGTTCTGCCAAGTAAGGGTCGTTTTTCTCGGTAGCGACCTCGAGAAGACCATTTATGGTATCTGTATCCGGTGATTTGTTGGGATCTTCGGGGTTATGGCGGGCGACAACCTCGAACATGCCTTTCAGATCGTCGAGCCTCTTGCCCATAGAAAGCACGGCCCACTGGTATATAACATCCCAGTGTTCCTTGCTTGGATTCGAGTCCACAAGCTTCTTAAAGATCGGCGTCGTCCAGCCCTTCTGTTCAGTCCTAACTGAAAATTGTAGCAGTTCCTTGTAAGTCCTGGCGGTCGGACGCTCTTCGTTGTGTATTGGCCGTAAAAACCACTTCTTCGTTTCCAGCACATTGTTCTTCTTCGCAAAGAAGACTGTCAAAGCCTCATGGACACTTGACGTGAATGGGACGCCAAGTGTCTCTGACTTCGCGACAGCATCGACTAGTTCTGACTCGCGCCCCTCCTCCGCCAGGCCTTGAAAGACATTGACCCAGAGGTTCTGGGCCGCTGGTCTCTCTGCCACTGGGAGCTGATCCCAGTACTCTTGCAGGACAGCGAGGCCTTCCTTGGACGCCCCAAATAGCGTCAAAGCAACGAGGAAAGATTCAAAGTCCTCTGCCGCGCCAGGGTCCATCGGATCCTGCGCCCTTTCCGCCTTAATTGCCTCGTACAGCTGGCGGGAAAACTCTAGATGCTCTTTCGTGTCTTCCTTTGGCTGTTTCAGCAGCGCCTCGCGCGCAGAAACGAGCTCTGCCAGCGTAAGTCCGGCGCCCGGTTCATCATCCTTATTTTCCAGCAGATATTGCAGCAAGTTTCTGCAGTGTAGGGCTTGTGTGCTGTTGACAACCACGTTGAACCGTAGCTTGTAGACGAAAAGCTCTCGGAAGGCTTCCACCAATTCTGTCCTTGTCGGTGGCCGTACGCTCTCCAGTAAGCGATTCCTCCACGTCAACACTGTTGTCCAACCGGGCTCGTACTCGGGCTTCTTGATTTGTCGCGGCGGCTTCTGGAGGATGCCGAAGAAAGTCCTCCGCGGGGCTCGTCGGGAAAGAGATATCGTTGATGCTACCGGCAACTGGGTATGGCGACACGTTGGGCGCGAGAGGATCGAGCAGGCGGGGACGCAACCCCTCGGTACAACGACCCGTCGAGAGACATGGCGGGCAATTTGCGCCCTCATGATGTGGGTTTAATACTTGAATTGAGGGGTCCTGAGAACTCAATTAGCCGATCCGATTGGCATTTGCAGTCCTCTGACTACATACCTTGGCATTTTCAGACCAAACTACACAATTTGCGGCATCTGGGGAAGCTCAATGCCGGCAGTAGAAGCTCTCAGAGATTTGCGCCTTGGAATTGGACACTGGAGCTTTCGGGGCATCGAAATCGCGGCCAGCTCCCACCAAAATGCGACCCGCGCAGGCGGATAAGACCGATGATTAACCGAGCTTAGTCATCGGGTCATCAATAACTGTAACCTGCCAACGGCTTCTTCGGCTTCAGCTCACGCACCTCGATTTTCCTTAAAACGGTTGTCATTTCCTTAATGATCAGGAACAAGCAATCTCATGTCAACGAACACATCATATGGTTCAAAGGAAGTGCGCAAAGGCTGCTGCGATGCGAGTATCGCTCGCAACGCCAAACATGTCACCAGCCAATCATGATACACTCATTACTGTGTACCCGCGATCCACTACATCTCTCCGCACACAGTCAACCCACCTCCGAGAGAGATGGCAATCACGATGACGGGGTAAATCAGGTCTGGGATAGCTGGGTATTATTTCCAGCCTGATCTAGCCAACAAACATGGCTGGAGCTTACGATCCGAAACGAGTGGTTCATGACTTTCAAAGTTGCTGCCGAAGTCAAAGCGAGCTTCAATTGGCTAGACAATCGGCTCAGACTGTCTATGACGTTACTACAACTTTTCGCGCAACCACCATTCATCGTTGAAGGCCCAAGGGCATGAAGACCGTTTTATGTTGTTGTTGACAACACGGAACCTGAGAACAAAAATGACCGAGATTCTACTCTTGAGATGGAACATTCCAGGGGCTGTCACGAAGCCCAAGCATAATGCAATTACGCTGGCGGTTGCGCATTCTCAGCAGTTCATGGCGCTTGGCACCTCGGCATCAAGTGATCGTTTTCATCGTCCCAAGCGCCCAGTGGTATAAAGCACAAACGCGCTCAGACATCTTCGGCAGCCAGTGCGACATCCGCGGTATTTGTCCAGATGATATGGAAATGATCACTAGACCTTGCAGGCGCACTCGGCAATAATGGACCAGCCACCTGCTTCTACTTGAGCCCAGAGTCTTCCTTTGACCATCGATTATTCCTTCTTCCAGAGAAACTTTTGCAAGTGGTGTATCCTGCAGTTGCCATAGTCTGCGGAACAAAACATTTCATCACTGTGGGTAATCTAACTCGGGCTCATACCGTCTAATACTTACCGCTTGTAGTGGTTGACGAAGAAATCTGAAGAAAAACCAAACGTCGCTTTTATCCCGCTCCGGAATTGTTCACGCCGGAGCCGGCCGGCAGCATAAATCCTTCCGACCGATCCTTTCAGGAGGGCATTTTACTATCATTATCCCGTTCCGTTGAAGAAGCACCAAGCTGTCGGCCTTATACTGCAAGGACATCGCGCTACACGTCCCGCCTCGTTGAAATCCCGCCATGGGGTCACAAAATCAGCAACTCCATAGCAGACGGCAAGCTAGTAGCCGCGACCCCAGTTGCTACTTCTGCTGCTGCTGGTGTTGCTGGATAGTCATCTGCTGCTGTCTGATTATTACCGTCTGCGCCGCTGTCCTCTTCTCCTCTCTGCCGGCGACCGGTCCTGTGCTGCTGGATCCTTAGACCATGAACGAAGCCATGACTCCGATATCTCCATCTACAATCGGTCCGCAGCTCATGTTCGTCCATGATGGACCGTCATGATGTGATCCATTTGGATCCTGACCTCGGCCCAATGAAGCAGCCAAAGTTGGATAGCATCGGAGATGATATAAGACAATGCGAGACAAGCTGCGGCTAAGCTGCCAGTCAACACCAGCAGCTTCGCTTTCCAGCACCCACCTTCTCCAGGCTCTTTTGCACAACTTGAAGCTCATCGTCCAAACATGTCCGCCAGCGATACAACGTCTCCGACGGCTTTATGCCTGACTTCCGTCGGCAGTTCCCTCGTGCCAAGCAAGCAACCTATTCCACGCCCTGGAGGTGGAGAGACTTTGGTTCGTGTTCATGCTGCAGGCCTGCTACCGCTCGACCAAAAGCTTCGCGACCTTGGCGTCTTCAATATCTCGTCCCGTCTTCCAATTACTCTCGGTATCGATGTTGTCGGCGAAGTTGTCGAACACGGTCCTCAGCCTTCGAACACCCCAGTGCCATCTTGTATCCTGCCGTTGGGACCAAAGTCCTCTTTCAAGGCAATCTCCGCCGCCCTCACGCTGGTGGCCTAGCCTCCTTCGTTCTCGCCAATACCGCATATCCTATACCCATTCCTGAGACAATCTCCGTTGTCGAGGCTGCAAGCCTTGTAACGAATCCTTTCACTGCGGCTCTTTCTCTGTTCCATCAATCTGGCCTTGATTTCCCATTTCCCCTTTCATGGCACGGACCCAATCTTTGAATACCATAGCGCTCACGTGGTTGTCCTCGGCGCCGGTACTACCGTCGGGTCTCTCATCGTTCGGCTTGCGTCCATTGCTGGTATCGGAACCATCATAACCACCTCTTCAGTGTCATCTTTTGCCTTTCTTCGAGCTTTGGGTGCAACCTTGGTCATCGGCCGGTCGTACCCTTCCATCGCCGCGACAGTCCAATCCATCTTGGGGATCCGTCATCAATGTCGTCGAGGCTTATGCGTCTGGTCATCCAACCCTCGCTGTCTCTCTCTTCGAGGTGTCCGGTGTTTCACGCACCATCATCATGTTGGACTCCTCCACTGGCGCCGACACTGCCGCCCTGGCCGATAAGGGCACCTCCTTGCACAACGTCTACGGCTCTTTCGAAGCTCATCCAATCGTGTTCCAACGATGGGCCGCCGCCCTGCCGAAGTGGTTGTCGACTGGCGACATGGTCATTCTCCCCCATAGAGTTATCCGAGGTCTCAACCCCCAAGCCGTCAACGCCGCACTTGATGACATTGGCAAGGGTGGCGGGGTAAGGTATGTCGTCCAGGTATGTCGTCCAGGTCCATGTGGATGATGGAGATGATGATGATGGGGAGGAGGCACGAGATATATAGACGAGAGGGACGGGGACGACAGGGCTCCCCGAGGCATATGGGGCGATGGGCAAGAAGAGGCACAGCAAGGACTAGGAGTATGCCGCCTGCGGGGGGTGTTGTACAAAGATCCGTCACAGTCCGGACGATCTTGTCCCATCATCGCCTAACCCACCCTCCATCATCCGATGTGACGACGGCTCAGAGCTAGTGCGAACATATCCCTCGCCCGTCGGTCAACAACACTTCAGCTCATACCCGAGAAGAGTTTGACCACACCCCCGGACGAGAGACACAATGGAAGGAAGGCAAACCCTGGCCAGAAAAGAGAAACGGCATGAGATGAACAGAGGCGAGGAAAAGCCAAGAAAGACGGAAAGAAAGAAAAGATCATCGACTCACCGCAATATAGCACACTACAGCTACCTGCCGCACCCCAGTAACCATGGTGTTTCCCAGTCTCTTCTCTGCTCTCATTCGTCCAGAGTTGCTAGTGATTCGAAAGTTGGTTCCAAACTTGCATTGGGAAGCTCTTAGCTCCGTCTCTCGTCTACCCCTCTTTCTCTCTAGACCATGGTCTACCGTCCTCCATGCCATCCTCACATCTCTGCTTCTCCAGCTGCTCAAAGCGCCGAGCGATGTGAAGAGCACGCCAGCAAATCCTGAATTTCTTCCATCTCCGGATTCGTCTTTACGCGCAGAGTCCGCGCGGCGCTGGTGATCACGGGGGACGCGTAGTCGGCGTTCTGTATGGCTGAAGGAGCCCTTATGTCGTCTGGTCAAGAGATCTCTGGGAGTGGGTGTGGGAGGACGACTCCTGAGGCGTTCACGTCTGCGTTTCAGAACTGCAAGTGCAGCTCATGGCGACTGGCTGCTGTCAACTGGCAGGGCGCAACCATCTTCCATTCCCTTTCCCCAGTCGTTCCCCCAAAAGCACGGCGGGAGGAGGCGGTAAGCCTGGCGTCTGGCGTTGACCCGATTGTGCCTGTGAGAAAGACGAACGGCATATCCAGTGATAAAGGTCTCACGTTGACGTCGTTCTTGCGTAAGGCCCGCCCTTTATCATCGCGGACTTGCTGCTGCTGCTGCCAGAGAGGCTTCGTTGTAGGGATGCATAGAGCAGAGAAGAAAAGAAGATAGACGAGATACGGACAAGAGAAAGACACACAAGAAAAACAGCCGGGGGGCTAGCCCAGGGGGTGCAGACCAAAGAGAAGGAGAAACCAAGAGGGAACGGACTAGGCCTAGCCTGCCATCCGAACATCGTCCTGATGTCGGTGATCCGTGGGACATTGATCGACGGTTGACAGGTTTTCGCCCGTGCGCCGTTCGACGTTCAACGATACCAGAACTGCAAACGTTCGGGTACGGACTTGCTAAATCATCACCGAAGTGTGTCGACAGGGCAACCGAAGAACCGGTCTCTCGCACGCCAAGTAACGCAACTACCGGACCAAAATTTTAAAATAACAGTGACGAAAGCAAGTCTAATTTGGCAAACCCTGGGAAAAGAAGCGATGACCACCGAAATATGCTGCCTCGGACTGGCTTACTTGCGTCTAAGCCATGCTCTCCTTTACGAGGCTGAACGAACCCGAAGCTGTCCCTGTCTCTGATGTCCGTGGGGATGGGGTTGAGAGTTCTGTCAGTTTCGACAGAGTTGCAGTTGACAACAGAGACAGACGGTAAGAGCAAGACACTACAATCTGCAGCTAGCCGCAGTCGACAACCTCAGCTGCAAGGTTCCATATGGCAACCATGGCATGACCACGCCGCGACTGCCACAACATCCGGAACACCGCACCGCGTTGTTCACTGCTCACTTACACGCCTTCTCTGCGTGGTCGGGCGTCCCCGCGATGTCTTCCTTCCCGGCGTGAAGTAGATCAGCGGCAGGTACGAGGGTTGGCAGGCAGGGCGAGACAAACATTCTCCCGGCCAGTAAGCACATGTGCGAGGGCAGATTACAAGGTGTGGCATGGCTAAATGGGGTACGGGATCGTCAGGTGAAGAAGAAGCAACACCGCGGGATGGCGATGCCGCCGCCGAGCTTTCATGGTTTGTGATCCCACGGGACGGGAGGACATCGAGTGCTTCACTTACAGGCAAAGCTGCCCATCTGGGTTGAACATGTCCCGAGCTGACCGGCATATAGCAGACATGCGTCTTCGGACATGAAGGCGATGGGATGGACCCGACGAGAGAATCCAGAGACAGAGATAGGCAGGTTTGGGATAGCTTCAAGGTGCCACAATCACCGGGTTCCGCTCCGCGAGATGAGGTGATCAACACCCTGACATCCATCCAGGCCTTGTTCCGTCGAGGAACAACGGCCGAAGGATACCTTGCACGACGCAATGCAACTCGATATTTGACTCAGTTCCTAAGGGACAGCACCAGCAGCAGCAGCATAAAGTCCGGACTCATCCTTCCAGCAGCAGGGTTCGAAGAGACGACATCGGACATGTCGCTGCTTAGCATCACCGACGTCCGTCGAACCTCGAAGCACCGGTCCGCCGATTCGATGGAACGAACCAATCCCACCTGTATCCAACACCTTACCCAAGAGAGTGCCTTCCCCCTTTTCATCGCATCCTTTAATCACCGACCACCGACACCGTCGTCCGGCCTTTCTTGCGATGGAATACTGCAGACATGTAAGAAAGAAAATCAGACCGCCGCAAGCTCGCATGAAGTCCGTCCGGGACGGCGCCAAACCCGTATTGGACAGGCCCGTCGTCGGTGTTGCGGCTACTCTGCCGCGCTTCACACTCGACGATCAGCACCTTATCAAGACGCTACTGGCCTGGGTTCCGCGACTAGGAACAGCAAGCATCGCGCCGGATACCGTTTCTTTTCTCCTCCCACCCATGCTCTATTCCCAACAGCGGACCGTCTGCTTAATCGGACGCCATAGACGTAGTTCCCGCCGGCACTTTGTGCCAATGTCTTTTCCAGACCCAGCTCCAAAGGAACAACCTTTGGTTCTGCGGCCCCTCCAGTATGCAGTTGTCGTTACATCCTCCGTCCGCCGAAGGATGACATCGGAGGCTGTCTTCCAAGGGCGAGGCTGATGAGCTGAAAAGAAGCAGGGGAAGTACGAGAATGGGACGGTTCCCCGTTTGAGTGCATGTAGGGCGGCGGCGCGCTGCGCAGAATCGAGGCGGAGGGGATGTACAATCGGTCGCCGGTGGATGCACAAAGGCAGATCCAATCTATGGGGTGATCGGCCGCTGTGTTCGGGTCGCCCAATTCTATCGGATGTCTTTTTGCCCCTCTCTCTGGTCTTTGGGAACTTTGGTATTGCATCTAGGCCAAAGGGACCCCGGACGGACGATTGTTCGCACTTGCGTGGCGCCGTCAAGGGGGTGTGGCCGCAAGCGCAACGACCCTTAGTTGGGGGTCCGAAGATGCCAACTCCGTCGTCCGGGGGACTACCACGGACAGTCCGAATCAACTCTCGACCGAACCCAGAAACCTCCCTTGATCTACAAGGCCAAGAACAATTTTCTACAGTCTTTAGAATTCATTTTGTCGTTTTGCAGGACCGAAGAAATTCGTTCGATTCCCCCCAAGTGCCGGTAGCCAGGAAGGGAAGGCAATCATCAAGCCTTGCTTGACGTCGTGGTTCCAGAATTCTCCCCGGCCCATCTCGGGCATCCCGAGAGAACCTTACACCCGACAGGGACAGAGAAGAAGTTGAACAATGAGATCGTCTCTGAAATGAACCGTCGTGTCGGTATCGGTCGGTCGTCGGGTCTTCGGTGATTCAGCACCTCGCCCTGACAGCAACGAAAGACCCAGAGATGAAGAGACACGCAGGGAGTCGTGCGTTCAGCCCTGTGGCACGACAACCCTCATCGTCGCTCGGACGACAGGACCATAAGCGCGCTGCCCAGGAAGCACTCGCATCCTCTCGCGCCTCGACTCCTCTGATGGCTTTGACGTTGGGCAGAGGAAACAGATGACAAGCGGGACGTAAACCTGGGGTTCGAACTGGTCCCCGCTCGTTCCTCCAGGGAACCGCAACGATGTCGAGCCGTGATACCAGGATAGCAACGAACTATTGTGACGATGACTACATTGACGTTGTCCCGCGAGGCTTCGAGGCTGACAACTCAAGCCAGAATACAGCCGTAATGGAATGAAGATGACCCAATCATGGGACAGAGAGATACAACCTCACTCCTTAGCGAGCTGCATAATCTGGGGCGCTGGTTACACCTGTAGTGCGGCGTCTGTTGCACGATGCCGGCCTCGGCCGAGCGACGACACCTTGCAGTTACGCCGCGCGCTTGGCTATCCTGCGCCGCTCCTCCGCCCTGCCCATGCGAGGGCATATCTTACCATCCCACAGAGCATTGGGCGAAAGACCGAGCAGGAAGGAAGCACTTCGCGACGCGAACAGGCACCGAGGTAGGCGAGACGGCGGATGAAGAGGCGAGATGCAAGACAAGACAAGTCGATTACATCAACGTACATCGGTTGAAAGGGGGGAGGCGGGTTGAGCAAGGCAGCCTTACAGCTTGCCCGCCGCCATGCTTTCAGACGAAGAGACATTCGCTCCTTGGCGGCCGACCGCTCTAGATGCATTTCCCGCGCGGGACGATACGAGAATAGCTCGACCTTAGGCCAGGCACGACGACAGACTCCATCGTCAAAATCCCACCAGGTACAGACAACCAGTCTACGTGCGCTGATTGGACGGAAAATTCGACAGCAAAAGATCATCCTACAACTGGGCCAATGAGTCCGAGTTGCCATATCGAGACGTTAGAAACGAACCCCGATCCTTCAGTCGATAAGCTTATCATCGAAGGATCATCGAACCAGTCCAGCTCTATCCAAAATCTGCCCAAAAAGGGTATTACAGCCCGACAAGAACTGACTGCGACAACACAAGTTCCCAATCTCCAATCCCTCTCGCTGCCTCGCAAAGCCACGCAAGTCGTCATTGCTTATTCTGCATGACCGACCGAAGTGGTCAGCCCAAGACAGCTGGGCGGGCGGCGGGCGGGAAGGGCCTGTCTCACCGAGATGCGGACGAGTAGGATGCTCCCCCCGTTGAGACTTATGCACGCAAGTCTCGGGAATGC